GCCGCCCCCCCGGCCATTGCAGGAACAGGCTTTGCTTTGTGGCCCCCCCACGACTAAGCCCCGTGATCCCCCACATGAAAAACCGCTTCCTTCGCCCATCCCCGGGGCGGGATGCGAATTCCCGTGGGAAGAAGGGAAAGGAGAAGATGGAGCGGGGAATGCTGGGGCTTGCTCTGCTGCTTCTGTCCCCGTGTCACACCAGTGGGTCCCCCCCTGGCAGGGGGGGGCCGTGGGAGGCGGTTGGGTCTCCAGCGGGTGTTTGCAGCCCCGAGACCCCCCCAGGGCTTGCGGCGGTGCTCGGGGGGGGACAGGAGGGGCTCCCCCAGCTTGTCGTCCCCCCCCTTCCCTCCTCCCCCTGCAGCAGGAAGGACGCGGGAAGCGTGTCCTTCGGCTCAACGGATCCGCTGGCCCCCGCGGCGTCCGGGAGCGGGACGGTGGCTGTCCCTCTTCCATGGGGGAAGTGAGCAGGCACTGGCCCTGCCGCTGTCCCCGTCCCCCCCATCCCATCCCTATGGGATGAGGCCAAACTGGGGTGCAGCCCCATCGTTTTGGGGAGGGTGGGTGTCAGCCCTCGCTCCCCGCAGGTCAGCGGACCCTCCACCACCGGGGAGATGTGCTGGAGACCCTGGTGCTGCTCAACCCTTCCGACAAGTCCCTGTGCGACGAGGTGAGCCAGGGGATGTGGCTGCGGCCCCTCCGGAGCCGTGGGCAGGGGGGTGCTGTGGGATGGAGCCCGCCAGCATCCTCACGTCCCCTCTGTCCTCACGTCCCCTCCGTCCCCAGCTGCGAAACCTCATCACAGACGTGTCGCAGCACAAGCTGCTGGTGTTTGCGGGGCCCTGCGTGGAGGAGACGGGGGAGCTGATGCTGCAGACGGGCTGCTTCTCTCTGCGGGACTTCATCCAGATCTTCACGGACAAGGAGGTGCGGTGCCGGGGAGGGGAGCTCGGCGGGGGGACCCCCAGGGAGGAGCCGCCTGCTCCCCGCCGGCTCCAGGCCTGGCTGCGGTGCGCGGGGGGGCCGTGGGCTGGCGCTGCCGGAGCGACTGTCTGCTCACGTTCTCCGGCGTCTCGGCAGGGAGCTGGGCATGGCGGCGGCGCGAGGCGGGGGGCGGGCCCGCCGGCCCCCCCGCCGGGCGGGCCCGCCATCCTGGCGCTGAGCCCCAGCTGAGGGTGGGTGTGAATGGGGGACCGGCCGCCCGTGCAGCGTGCTGGTGGCCAGCACCGGGTGCGGGGAGTGGGCTGGGGCTGCGGGAGCCCCTGGGGAAGGGATGCTCTGTGCCTGCCAGGGGAGGGGGGCTGAGGCAGGGCGCCCCCGGGCTGCCGCATCGCTGGCCCTGGGTGCCCCATCCCGCCTGAAGCTGTGGCTGTCCCCGTCCCCTCGCAGGTAGGGGAGATCCTGAGCTCCGCGGACCCCTCGGCCAAAGCCAGGCTGACCATCAGCTGCCCCGACTTTGGGGAGTGGAGGGACTCGGGCTTGGACCATCACAACCTCCAGGACTTCATCGAGCTGCGCTACAACCCAGGCTGCATCCTGCCGGAGATGGAGGGGCTGGAGGAGTTCATGGAGTACCTCTCGGAGTCGCTGGAGCCCCAGTCCCCCTTTGACCTCCTCGAGCCCCCCACCATGGTTGGCTTCCTCAAGCTCTCCAAGCCCTGCTGCTATATCTTCCCGGGCGGGAGAGGGGACTCGGCTTTCTTTGCCGTCAACGGTTTCAACGTCCTGGTCAACGGAGGCTCCAACCCCAAGTCATCCTTCTGGAAGCTGGTCCGGCACCTGGACCGCATCGACTCCATCCTGGTGACGCACGCCGGCACGGACAGCCTGCCCGGCGTCAACAGCCTGCTGCAGAGGAAGCTGGCCGAGCTGGAGGAGGATCCGTCCCAGAGTTCGCAGGGCAACGGGGACTGGGCGAAGAACCTCATCTCCCCGGAGCTGGGCGTCGTCTTCCTCAACGCCTCCGAGAAGCTGAAGGACATCGAGGGTAACTCCCGGGTGCTGAAGAGCTGCGACGAGGCTGCCCTGACCCTGCACTACCTGGAGAAGCTGGGCATCCGTCCCAACCCGCTGGCCCGGGACAGCGGACCCCGCGCGGAGCCCACGGTCCTCTTCCAGAAGATGGGAGTGGGCCGGTTGGACATGTACGTCCTGAACCCCGTGAAGGGCACCAAGGAGCTGGAGTTTCTCCTGCAGCAGTGGTCAGGCAACAGCTACCCCAAGGAGCAGGACTTGCCCCTGCAGTGCCTGACCTCCGTCTGCGCCCTGCTCGTCTGGCACCCCGTCAGCCCCTCCGAGAAGATCATCCGGGTCCTGTTCCCCGGCTGCACCCCCCAGGGCCGCATCCTGGAGGGGCTGGAGAAGGTGAAGCACCTGGAGTTCCTCAAGCAACCCGTGGTCACCAAGAATGATCTGAAGGGACCGCCGGCATCCCAACCTGAGAAGCCGCTCAAGCAGAGGAGGGCAGAGAGCAAGGAGAGCCTGAAGTCGGCTTCCAAGCTCAGCTTGGTGGATGCTGCAGCACCGGTGCCGAAGGAGAAGGCTCCGAAGGTGGAGAGGAAGGAGGTGAAGGCAGGGACCAAGGAGAAGCCAAAATCCCTGGGGGAGACGGCCAGAGTGGCGTCGGAAGAGGAGAAAGCCAAGGATGCTCGAGCCAAGCTGGACTCTTCAATGGAGAAGCTGAAGGCAGACGCAAAGCCGAAGCTGAGCAAGGAGAAAGCGGTGCCCAAGAAGGAGCCTGTCCCCCGGAAAGAGGAGAAGAAGCTGCCGAAGAAAGACGAGGGGGCCGAGGCGAAGGGGGAGGCCAAGAAGGAGGTGAAGGTGGTGAAGAAGGAGGCGAAGGCTGAGACGCTGCGGAAGGACACAAAGGAGAGCAAGGCAGAGGCCAAGGCTCCTGCCAAGACCCTGGCCCGGAAAACGCCGGTCCCAGAGACCCGCAAACCCCTGGCCAAGGCCGGCAGCATCAAGAAACCCCCCCTCAAGAAGGAACCGGAGAAGCCCAAGGCCAAAGCCCCCCGGGAGGCCAGCGGCAGGAAGGAGCCGGGGACCCCAGACGGCTCCAAGTCCTCCTCCCCCGAGGACATGCTGCCGGAGGCCGAGCGGGGCCGGGGGGCCGCCTCACCGGGGGCTGGCGGGAGGAGGAGGAAGGAGGAATCGACGGACGAGGGCATCACCACGGCCGAGAGCGAGCTGGAGCCCTCACCGCTGGAGAACGGGGGGGCCGGGGAGCCGGCAGGACCGGGAGACTCCTCCTGCCTGGAGAACGGCCTGGAGGACCCCGACAGCCCCCAGCGTTTCCGCTACCTGGAGAGCAGCCCCTTGAGAGCCGTCTGCCCCCCCTCGCCCCTGGCCAAGACCCCCAAGAGCGACCGCAGCGTCAACTTCGACCTGACGCCCACCGGGATGCTCAACCACGGCCCGGAGGGCGGTGAGGACGCCTGTGGCAGCTCTGAGGAGAAGACCCTGGAGATGATGTCTCCGGCCAGCTCGGGGCCGGCCAGCGCCGGGCACACTCCCTTCCACCAGTCGCCGGTGGACGATGGCACAGAGGAGCCGGGTGCCAGCACCAACAACCGGCAGCCCAACCCCTGGCCGCCGGCTGGGGGCAAAGCCTCGCAGGATGGCTCCGGCTCCTCGCAGGAGAAGCAGGCGGGCTGCCTCTCCCTGCGCCCCTTCAAGGACGATGTCCCCGACGTGTCCCCCACCGTCACCACCCCCTCGCTGCCGGCCGAGGTGGGCTCCCCGCACTCCACCGAGGTGGACGAGTCGCTCTCGGTCTCCTTCGAGCAGGTGCTGCCACCCGTCAGCGAGTCCCCTCCAGAGGAGGGCAGGCGGTCCCGGGGGACCGGGGGGACGCCGGAGCCGGAGGCCACCAAGGGCGGGTTGTCGCTGCCGCTGCGGCCGTGCCACCACCCGCCACGGGCTGACGGTGACACGGTGCCGCGGCCCGACCGCCGCTCCGACTCGCCCCATGACGTGGACCTCTGCTTGGTGTCACCCTGCGAGTTCGAGCATCCCAAATCGGAGCGGTCGCCCTCGGCCGCCGCCAGCCCTCGGGAGCTGTCGGACAGTGACCCGTCGCAGGAGCTGGTGCAGCGCCGGGGCCGGCCCCGCCAGCCGGTGGGCGAGACGCCCCCCACCTCCGTCAGCGAGTCGCTGCCCACCCTCTCCGACTCCGACGTCCCCCCGGCCACCGAGGACTGCCCCTCCATCCTGGCCGACGGGCTGGAGTCGGATGAGGACTCGGAGCAGCCCACCCGCGGCATGGCCAGGGCCCGTGACCCGCTGCCGGCCCCCATGAAGGACCCCTGCCCCATCCCCGCCCAGCCCGGCATCTGCATGGTGGACCCGGAGGCGCTGCCGGCCGAGCAGACCCGTGCCGGGAAGAAGGAGACCCCCGGCAAGGTGAAGAGGACCCCGTCCCGCGTGGGCTCGGCACCCGCCACCCCGAGGGCTGAGCCCCCCCGGCACCCCACCTCGGCCCCCAAGGCCAGGGGCCCCACCAGCTCAGCCCGCGACGCTGGGGACAAGGCCAGGCTGCCCCCCGGGGACAAGAAGGGCCCCTCTGGCGGGGACACCCGCGCCCCAGGGACCACCCGCAGCTCTGGAGCCCGGCTGCTGGCGGGAGCCGGCAGGGGGCGGGGGCGGGCAGGGCGTCACCGGCAGGTACGGGGCTGGAGGGGGGGACGCGGGTGCGGGGGATGGAGCAGCTCGGGGGCACCGCCGGTGCCGTGCAATGGGGTGGGGGGGTTTGGGGGCTGCTGCTGACAGCTCCCGTACCCCGACAGGCACACGGGCTGCAGCCCCCCCGGGCCCCCCAGTCTACGTGGACCTGGCGTACCTCCCCGGCTCCTGGAGCGCCCGGACGGTGGACGAGGAGTTTTTCCGGCGCGTCCGCTCCCTCTGCTATGTGGTCAGCGGCGACGACCACCTGAAGGAGGGCGTCCTGCGGTCCCTCCTCGACGCCCTGCTCGCCGGCAAGCACCAGTGGGGCACTGACATCCAGGTGAGCTCCCCCGGATACCCGGAGCGGTGGGATCAGCCCCCTCCTGCTGCTGGGAAGCAGGGGGACGCGGTGTGGTGGCGCGGTGTGGTGGCGCAGTGTGGTGGCACGGTGCGGTGGGTGTCTCTGCAGGTGACCTTGATCCCCACCTTCGACTCACTGGTGATGCACGAGTGGTATCAGGAGACCCACGACCGGCAGCAGGAGCTGGGCATCACGGTGCTGGGCAGCAACAGCACCGTGGCCATGCAGGATGAGACCTTCCCTGCCTGCAAGGTGGAGTTCTGAGCAGGGGGGGCCACGGCGTGGGCTTCATCCCCACCCTCCTCCTCCGTGAGCCCCCGCTCTCCCTCCCTCCGCACCTGGTGACTCGGGGCTGCGCCCCCCCGCCACTGTGGCTCGCCGGGGGGGGGGGGGGGGGGGCCGCCGGGGGGGGGGGGCTGGGGGGACCCGCCGCCGTGGTGCGGGCAGATTTATGGGGGCTGCACGGTGGCGGTCGGTGATGGCTCCTCGTGGCGATTACCCCTGCTATTTATTCTGCCTGCCACCATTAAATAAACATCGGCAGAGACCCCCCGCCTGGCCCTGCACGCCACGCGGACTTTACAGAGTC